GACCGGCCCACCCCCCCAGCGACACCCCCATTCCTCCACACAAAGAGACCGGCCACCCACCCCCCCCGCGAAACCCCCATGTCCCCGCAAAAAGCGGGACCGACTGGGGAAACAGAGGGAGCCGGGAGCAGCCGAGCCTCAGTCGCTCGCCGGGCCGGGGTCGGGTCCTGGCCGCCTCTGCTCCCGGCAGTAACGGGAGTTTGCACCGAGCGCTCCCCGCGGCGGCTGCGAACACCGCTCGGCCCCGGTGACAGCCTGGCCTGGGGGCGGGAGGCGAGGGACACCGAACCCGCAGCCCAGCGGCGGCTGCCGCCTCCTTCCCTCCCGCCAGCCCCGACGGTGGCTGTCGCTAGGGGGCTGCAGCCGAGCGCCAGGGCCAGCCGCGCTCACCTTTGCCGGCCGCACTCTTGGTTTGCGGGGACTTCATGGCCGCAGGTTCTCGCCTCTCCCCGCCGCCTTCTGCCTCCAGCATCTGCGGCCAGCCCCAGCGGCGCCTCTTATAGCCCGTGCCCCGGGGAGCGGCCGCGGCGCAGCCAGACGTGGAAGGAGGCGGGCGTGGGAGGGGGCACGGCCGAGTCCGGCTGCTGCTCTCGCGCTGGGGCGACGAAGTGGGAAGGACGCGGCCCGCCGGCGGGGCTGGATTGTCCCCCTGCCTCTGTGTCCAGCCTCCTGCTGGTCCCACAGAGCCCCGGGCCGGGGCCTCCCACGTGCCCGCCTCGGCCCTCACTGGCTGGACTTCCGAGCCTCCCCAATCCAACCCCTCTGGCGCGGGGGTACAGGCGTCTAGCCCCTGACCATCCGGCTGAAATTGTCAGTGCGCGGGAGGACTTCCCTCCCGCGTCCCCCGCAGAGACTGTGCGAGACAGACGGTCCATACCCGCCTCCCCCCGCAAAACAACATCACGGTTCCACCACAGAAATACACCGCAGTGCTGGTTGGGAGGCGTTTGCTGGCTGGAGCCACTGCAACGTGCTGTTAGAAAAACGCAGCTCCCGCTAGAGTGGGACAAAGCACTAATGTCTGGGGCAGATAGGCACTGAAAAGCCTTTACAGCTCCTGCCTCAGTGCGAGGCTGAGTTAGTGTGGTTTGTGGTCAAAGCTTCCTACTAGCACATGAAGTGCCTGGGCTATAACCTGTGCTACAAAGTAGAAGATCTGCCTTGTTTCCTTTTACTACCCAAAAGCAACCTGAGCCTGCAGCAGGAACATAGAATCAATCATAAAATATCAGGGTTGGAAGAGACCTCAGGAGATCATCTAGTCCAACCCCCTGCTCAAGGCAGGACCAGTTTCCAACTAGGAGAGTTTAACTACAACTGAGTCGGGCTTTTTTGTTAGCAATAGATTTTTTTTTTCTATTTATCTCGCGGTCTGTAAAATCAAGGCAAAACCTCTTAAATGTTGATTTAATGCACGAGGGGTGAATGGGCTGAAGAACCTTGTGTGAATGAATATAAATTGGCTCAGCAGCACACTTCATACTAGAAGAGGCATTGCAGCATGCACTCCTTGACCCTGGGACGTTACCTTCTGGTTGGTACCGGCCAGAGGAGAACCAAGAAATGCCATGTTCCATAAAATCGGAGCAATGATGGAATATTCCTCAGCCTTTTGACTTCCTCTAGTGGGGGTATTTGTGTCAGCAGAGCTCCCGGCAGGCTCACAGTCTAGTAATAACGTACCTGGAGCAGCAGCACCAGGTTAAGGCACAGTCACTCCAGCAGGACACTGCATAGCAAGACAGTTCCAAAAAATGCTTGAAAGCACTAATGAGAGAGAAAAACTATAAGGCTGAATCTACACTAGGTAAATTGGGGACCTGTAATTCTCGACAGTACAGCTCCAATAGCATTGCCTGTTGTCTAGACAAAATGAAGGCATTTTTATCACAATCTTACCACGGGGATAGAGCCCATCTAGCCCTGAAGATAACTTTCAGAAAGCACCTAAATGCAATGCTTTTGAGGCTGTAGCCACACTGAAAGTGGGAAAGTCCCCCATTTATCACGTGGGTGTTAATGTTATGGCCTAATTATCACTAGTGTTGTTTAAATGCTGTAACAATGTTAGCAGTTTCACTTCTGTTTATCATATAATAAACATCCAACTACTGTACCTACTCAGGGTACTTACCTGCTGATGATACTTCATTCCTTCAAAAGGAATTTGCATGGGAAAAAGGCTGAAAAGCTTTGAATATCCAAAGAGCTGAATAAATCAGATAACCATCTAGGATGTTTTGAAATATTTTAGAGTTATTTGAATAAGGGCTTGTCTTCACTGCAGTTAACTCTGGCTCTTACTCATGTATTGTCCCTAACTCAACTCCAATTCACACACAACCCTCTCCCCACATATGGTGATACTTTCAGATCAGTTTCAACATAGCTAGCGAGCCTGTCCAGGATATAGGTTAAAAGCCTGAGTGCACCCTATCTCCAGCTGCTAACCCAGCACATTTTGCAGTGAGGACACAGCTAAAACACTCCAGTGCCTTTCCATATTTCCCCCTGTGTGCAGAGAGGGATAGACAAGTTCTTCCAAAGTTCACTGGGAAAGAATCAGAGTGGCTCAGCTTACTGCAGTTCTAAGAACCATGGATATGCCCTCAGAAGTCCTAGCACCTCACACAGGCAAGTGCAGCACTAGTGTTGAGGTATGTGGCCACTCACATCCAAGTTAGACTAATCTGGGTGCTCTGACCCAGGTGCTGATCATTTGGGGTAATTGCAGTGAAGACATACCCTAAGAAAGATACTTGCTCTTGCCTTTAAAGTCAGGGTAAAACTGGTAGAATAAAAAAGAAAAATTCCATTGTAGAATTTGCCCAGATTCGAGTAGATATATATATATATTGCAATATATATATATTGCAATCAAAAATATATTTCTTTTGACACAGAATTTTTTTTACTGATGAATTACAAACCCAAGAAATGAGACTTATAATGGAAAGTATCAGAGCTTTAAATATAGCTGAATTATAGTAAACATTCATCTATGGGGATACTGTCAACTTGGTTTAACCCTAAAATTTAGCAGATATTAAATAAGGATTTTATAAAGGTTAGAAGGGTTTGATTTAAATTTTACCTTGCATTACTGAACCCAAAACCAACAGCATTATGTTAGTGTATATGACCCAGAAAATGGACCTGGTAGAAACTAATTATAAACAAAAGTAAAACTGATATGTCATTTCATTGGCCAAGAACAGCGAAATACATAAGGGTTCCTAATGGAGTTAACTGATTGTTATGTAATGAGGATATTATATGGAAACTCTCATTTTATTGTGTTTCAAAAACTGCCTTGAATATTTATCACCTATAATTAAGGCTACGTTTTAGTCATGGGTATTTTTAGTAAAAGTCATGGACGGGTCACGGGAAGTAAACAAAAAATCATGGCCTGTGACCCGTCCATGACTTCTACTATATGCCCCTGACTAAATCGGGGGGGAGGGGGTGTTGGGGGCAGGGGGGCAGCAGCACATGGTCCGTAACCCTACTGGTGCTTGGGGGGGCCAGCAGGCTCCCTACCTGGCTCCGCATCTCCCCGGAAGTGGGGACATCCCCCTCGCTCAGCTCCTAGGTGGAGGCATGGCCAGGCAGCTCTGCACACTGCCTCTGCCCAGAGCGCTGGCTTCGCAGCTCCCAGCCAATGGGAGCTGTGAAGCCAGTGCTCTGGGCGGAGGCAGTGTGCAAAGCTGTCTGCCCATGCCTCCGCCTAGAAGCTGAGCAAGGGGGATTTCCAGCTTCCGGGAAGCCTGCAAGGTAAGCGCTGACCAGAGCCTGCCTCACCCCATCCTGTGCCCCAACCTCCTGCTCCCTCTCACACCCAAACTCCTGCTTCTGCTGGGGTGCGGTGGCTCTAGACTGCCCCAGCAGTAGCTGGTGCAACTAGCGCAGGGGCTGCCTGAGCTGCCCCAGGACCAGGTGCACCGGCTGCTGCAGAAGTCATGGGAGTCACGGAATCCATTACTTCCATGACCTCCGTGACAAACTCGCAGCCTTACCTATAATAAAAGTTTTAATTAAGTATAATTTGTAAATATAGGCCTGAGCAATGGATTGCCACGTAAGTCCAGGGCGATAAAGTAGCATGGCTGAACTATGTCTCAATGATTTATTATTCATATTGTGGTAGCACCTAGGGCTGGATTAACTTTTTGTCGTCCCAGCCTCAAACATATATTGTGGGCCCCCATTGGGGAAATAGGGCATGTGATGGGGGGGCGGTCCGCAGAGCAGGGGGGCAGTTGGGGGCAATGAGGCACAGTGGGAGTGGCCCCACTCAGCCCAGCACAAGGGCACTGTTTACAAACCCAAAACTGCTAGATGCACACTGGTCCACCCAGCCCTGAGCTGCCAGCATGCCCCTTCCACACTGCCCCTCCCCCCCGCCCAGTGCCCTGCCCTTATGCCAGCACCCCCTCACCCAGAGACTTCCCCCACAGATCCCTATGCCCAGCACCCCCTGCCTAGAGACCCCTCCCGCTGACCTCCCACCACAACTGCACAGCACCCTGCACACCACACCCCCTGCCCAGCTCCCCCACCCATAGATCCCCTACTGTCCCACCATCACAGCTGTACAGTGCCCCATATTCCTGAGGGAATTCTGCATCAAATTCTATGAATATTTTAAAATTCTGAATTTTTTTTTTAATAAATAAATGTGGAAGCTCCACCACGGCAGTGGGGAGCACAGGCCACTGGCTGCATGGAGGTGGGAGAATACCCTGCAGCCTCCCCCGCCCTTCTGGGACAGGGACTTGGCAGTGAGACTGAACCTGACCCTGACACAGCAAAAGGGCCAGGCCTGCCACAGAAACACCCTGGGGCCCTGCCCCTTTTGCACCAGGCACACCAGATGTGGGCAGGGAGGCTCAGTCCGGCAGCAGGATCCAAGTGCAGAGGGACTTAGTGTGGGGGTATCCAGATGGGGGTAAGAGGGTTCTGTGGGGGGGTAAGAGTTCTGTGGGGGGCAGTCTGGGTGCAGGCAGCTCAGTGGGGGATCTGGATGCACAGGGAGGTGCCAGTTACAGGGGCAATGGGAGTCTGCAGGGGGGACCAAGTGAAAGTGGCTGGAGCTCAGCGGGGGGGGGAGGGGGGAGAGTCTGGGTGCAGGGGAGGTGGGGTTTTTGTACTTAAAGTACTGCACAGGATCTTTTAAGGGGGAAATAAGGCAAACGCCACATTCATTGGTAATAGATGCATCAATCAACAATGTATCATATGCAGATGAGCTATATTACACTTGTGACGGGTTGGATCACAGAAACCCCCTTGGGAGCTGCCACCCGATGTGCCAAGACTACCCCTGCTTCTGTTTTCCCTGCCAGCTCAGGACTCCAGCACCCCGTCTTGCTGAATTAGACACTCCAGTCCACTTCAACACAGACCCAGGGTCTGAATCACTTGTCCCAAAACTGCAAGTTTACCCAAAAACATCTCACAGGAGTGTGC